CAGAACCTGTGGCCCCCGAGCTGCTGGCTTTCAGAACCTGTGGCCCCTGAGCAGTTCAGTTGAACAGCCCTGATCTAAACTGTAACTCTTCTGCTCAGTTTGTACCACAGGTATTTTGAAGTGTCCTGGATTTGACCCAGGCTGCACCACAAGTGCTACAGCTAGCTGCTGCTGCTGCTGCTGCTGCTGCTGCTGCTGCTGCTGCTAGCTGCTGCTGCTGCTGCTGCTGCTGCTGCTGTTGCTGCTGCTGCTGCTGCTGCTGCTGCTGCTGCTGCTGCTGCTATTTGTGCTCGTGAATAACCACAACGCTTCCTGTTAATGACCACACATTGAAACAAATGATAGCAGTGGTTTATGGAAAAACACGTGCATGAATCAGTGTGAACCTTCCCAGCTGTAACCCAGTGATGTCGTAGCGGAGTGTGGACAAGCTGCTCGTCGGCCGTATCAAAACTAAACTCCACGTTTCTAATCTCAGATTATTCAAATCGCCATAAGAGACAAGGAGATTGTTGTTGTTCACAACTCTTACACAGAGACCCGCTTCAAACGGGCTGAAACATCACTTTAACCAAGGCTGGCACTCTGGACCTGTGGGAGACAGACGCTCCGTGGATTGAGGCTCAGGGCATGTTGTTCTGATGAAGCGGCTTCAGTAAGAGGAGACCGTCAGGTTTACCTGTGGTGTTTGGAGCTGGAGGGGGGCGTGCTGCAGGTACATCCTGATGCCACTGCGGTCCTGCTGATGAAACCCTCAGTCACGTCACATTCGTGCAGGGCTTCCACGTAGCGCTTCTCTGCTGCCTGTTTGGCATTTCTCTGTTCCCAAAGCACACGTGCACAAAGTGTTCAGGTTTCAGTACAAGTCCGTGTCGAACTAATCAAAGCGCACACTCAACACTTCAGCCTTTTACTGGTATTTATAAATCAGAACAACAAACGGTACATGGACTGTACCTATACAGCTCCTTTCTGTCTTATTTCAAGATGCTCAGAGCTCTTTACAACAATCTGTGACTCACTGACCCCTTCATGCAGCTCTATACTAGATCTCTACAAAGATAACTGAACAAATCATTCTAGAGAGACTAATCAGTTCTTATCACATTCATGCACTGAAGGACACACATCAGAGGCAGTGAGGGGTTCAGTGTCTTGCCCAGGGACACTTCAACATGTGACTGCTGGTGGATTTGAACCCCCAACTCTTGCACTGGAGGACGACTGCTCTAACCACTGAGCCACAGCCGCCAGCAGAGGACTAACGTTTCAGTTCTCTAGTTCCAAACTCTACATCATGTGCATCATCATCATCTCTTCAGATCAGCTGTTCTGACTGAACACGTTGTTGTGTGAACTTCCAGCCCTCACACTGAAAATAATAACACTTACAATAACACACGTCTGTCAAACTTTAATCTAAACGACACGTTACAGATTATTGTAAACATACGCAGCTCTTCAACACTTCTTAATGCGTTCAACTGAGTTGTTACAATTCCAGCTACAGACCACCAGAGGGAGCGCACGTGTCAACAGAAGTGCACATCCATCCATCCATTTTCTTTACCCGTTTGTTCCATTTTGGGTCACGGGGGTCGCTGGTGCCCATGTCCAGCAATCACTGTGCGAGGGGCGGGGGACACCCTGAACGGGTCGCAAGTCCAGAAGTGCACAGTTGATGAAAAATACATTTGTTCATTAATTTACATTATGTTGACTTGATATAAAAGACTGAAAAAACCCAAAACATGTTGAATGACACCAAAGTGTTGGGTAAATGTGGGCTGTACCCGGGTTGAACCTGCCGTGAGTAAAAACTGAACCGATCACATCAGATGAGATCAGACCAGATCAGATCAGATAAGATCAGATCAGATCAGATGAGATAAGACAAGATCAGATGAGATCAGATAAGATCAGATCAGATAAGATGAGATCAGATAAGATGAGATCAGATGAGATGAGATCAGATCAGACCAGATCAGATGAGATCAGATAAGATCAGATCAGATGAGATAAGACAAGATCAGATCAGATGAAATCAGATCAGATAAGATGAGATCAGACCAGATCAGATGAGATCAGATCAGATAAGATCAGACCAGACCAGATAAAACAAGATTGGACCAGATAAGATCAGATGAGATCAGATCAGATAAGATCAGATGAGATAAGACAAGATCAGATCAGATGAGATAAGATGAGATAAGATCAGATGAGATAAGATGAGATAAGATCAGATCAGACCAGATAAGATCAGATCAGATATCTTTATTGATCCTGCAGGACTCAGTAAGATGTAAAGTTCTTGATGTTTTATTTTGCTTAGCTTCTTCTATTTGTGAATTTGATCAACTGAAAGACTTCTCAACATGAAGCGTTGGTTTTCTTTATCATAAAATCATTTCCTAGATGCACTAACAAGTAAAGCCACTCTATTTTTGTGCTGTTGTATGTGTGTGTGTGTGTGTGGGGGGTTCTTTCAAATATTAAAGCCAACTGTTAAAAAAGAAAGAAAGATAGTTTGACTTTCATTCTTACAGATCACATCCTGAACTTCTAACTAAAACATGTGCACACTGTCATAACGTCTTTCTGCACAAGCAGGCTCATGAACCAATTACAAACATGTTTGTTGGGGTTATATTTTCAGATTAGAATCAGTTAGTCTCTGAATGACGGGGTTTTCGTGTGATAAAAAGTGAAAGCAACATGGACCTGAGCGACCTGCTCCAACAGCAGGGGCCTTCCCTTCACTCTGGCTCGCATCTCTCGGACCTCCTGCTCGTACTCCTTCCTGCGCTCAAGGTCCTGCTTCCTGTGAAGAAACACAAAAACAACAATCGTTTCTTAAAGCACGAAGGAAACGTTGAGCCTGGAAGCACTGGGACCAAAGACCAGTGTGAAACATAAACAGAACTCAAGTTTATCGTTGGGCTTGGTAAAAACATGAACCCCAAATCTGAACACGTTGGATAAAAGGTGATGAAAACAGAATGTACTTTACTCCATTTCTCATAAACTCAAACAGCATTTTATTCACATAATAAGTCTATCAAGTGTTTAAACTAAGAAACAGTTTGATTTGGGAAGTTCACTTGAGCAACAGAAGGTGTAAGTGGTTCAAACGAGAAACATCTGGAGGAGCATTTCTCTCATCAGGTTCATTGTCAGTAAAAGTGCTGAGTATAAAATAATGACATCTAGTGAGGCTGAATCTCTCAGAGGTACAACTGGTTGAGACGTTCACCAGTCTGTGCATTTAAAACGGGTCCAGTTCCAGAATAATGTTCCTCAGCAGAAACTCTGGATTGTTTTGAACGCCCCATCACGTTCGTAATATCCTGAACAGACTCCAGGAAGATGAATAAACGTCTGAGCTCAAAGGACCAGGCTGAACTCAGTGAAGATGCTGATCTTTGGGCCCTCAGGGGCCCCTGCACTAACAACAGGTCTGATTCTGTTCTGAACATCACTGCAGGGGATCAGAACACTTACACAACAATTGTCTGCAAACACAGATCACTGGCTCATCCACAAATGCTGGTTAAAGCTCTATCGCACAGAAAAGAAGCCAGATGTGAACACCATCCAGAAACACTGTCGTGTTCTCTGGACCAAAGTTCAACTGGACTGAGGGAAACTGGAAATCTGTTGTGTGGTCAGAGGAATCATCCATCCATTTCCTTCGACCTTCTCCCTTCCAGGTCAATCCAGTTTATTTATAAAGCACCAAGTCACAGCAGACGTCGTCTCAGGGCGCTGAACAGAAACGTTCAGACACTAGTCCCTGTCCCTGGTCTACCGCCGGGGACCCGTACCCTGAAGACCCACGCTAAGTGAAAAATCACCAAGTAGGAACAGTAGTACAAGTAGTAAGTAGTATTTGTCTTTATATTTTGGATCATCGTCTTGTTGGAAGATAAATCTCCGTCCCAGTCTCAGGTCTCTTGCAGACTCAAACAGGTTTTCTTCCAGAATGGTCCTGTATTTGGCCCCATCCATCTTCCATCAATTCTGACCATCTTCCCTGTCCCTGCTGATGAAAAGCAGGCCCAAACCATGATGCTGCCACCACCATGTTTGACAGTGGGGATGGTGTGTTCAGGGTGATGAGCTGTGTTGCTTTTACACCAAACATATCGTTTTGCATTGTGGTCAAACAGTTGGATTCTGGTTTCATGTGACCAGAGCACCTTCTTCCACATGTTTGGTGTCTCCCAGGTGACAAACTTTAAACAACACTTTTTATGGAGATCTTTGAGAAATGTCTTTCTTCTTGCCACTCTTCCATAAAGGCCAGATTTGTGCAGTGTACGACTGATTGTTGTCCTATGGACAGACTCTCCCACCTCAGCTGTAGATCTCTGCAGTTCATCCAGAGTGATCATGGGCCTCTTGGCTGCATCTCTGATCAGTCTTCTCCTTGTTCCAGATGAAAGTTTAGAGGGACGGCCGGGTCTTGGTAGATTTGCAGTGGTCTCATACTCCTTCCATTTCAAGATGATTGCTTGTACAGTGCTCCTTGGGATGTTTAAAGCTTGGGAAATCTTTTTGTATCCAAATCTGGCTTTAAACTTCTCCACAACAGTATCTAGGACCTGCCTGGTGTGTTCCTTGGTCTTCATGATGCTCTCCCTGAGAACCCTGAGACTGTCACAGAGCAGGTGCATTTATACAGAGACTTGATTACACACAGGTGGATTCTATTGATCATCATCAGTCATTTGGGACAACGTTGGATCATTCATAGATCCTCACTGAACTTCTGGACTGAGTTTGCTGCTCTGAAAGTAAAGGGGCCCAATAATATTGCACGCCCCACTTTTCAGTTTTTTATTTGTTAATAAAGTTTGACACATCCAATAAATTTCATTCCACTTCACAATTGTGTCCCACTTGTTGATTCTTCACAAACAATTAAAATTTTATATCTTTATGTTTGAAGCCTGAAATGTGTCAAAAGGTTGAAAAGTTCAAGGGGCCCAATACTTTCACAAGGCACTGTATATAATCACGCTTCTCCATCTGGTAATCTGATGGACCAGTCTGGGTTTGGTGGTTGCCAGGAGAACGGTACTTGTCTGACTGCATTGTGCCAAGTGTGAAGTTTGGTGGAGGGGGGATTATGGTGTGGGGTTGTTTTTCAGGAGCTGGGCTCGGCCCCTTCGTTCCAGTGAAAGGAACTGACTGCTTCAGCATACCAAGACATTTTGGACCATTCCATGTTCCCAACTTTGTATGAACAGTTTGGAGCAGCCCTTCCTCTTCCAACATGACTGTGCACCAGTGCACAAAGCAAGGTCCATAAAGACGTGGATGCAGAGTCTGGTGAGGATGAACTTCACTGGCCTGCACAGAGTTCTGACCTCAACCCGACAGAACACCTTTGGGATGAATTAGAGCGGAGACTGAGAGCCAGGTCTTCTCATCCAACATCAGTATGTGACCTCACAACTGAGCTTCTGGAAGAATGGTCAAAAATCCCCATGAACACATTCCTAAACCTGTGGACAGACTTCCAGAAGAGTTGAAGATGTTCTAGCTGCAAAGGGTGGACCAACGTCATATTGAACCCTATGGATTAGGAATGGGATGTCACTTTAGCTTATGTGTGAGTCAAGGCAGGTGAGAGAATACTGTTGGCAATGTAATGTATAAAGTAAAGAGTATTGGTCCAAGCACTGAGCCTTGAGGAACTCTATGACTAACTGTGGTGTATGAAGAAGATTCATTATTTATATGTACAAAGTAGAATCTATCAGCAAGATATAATTTAAACATGGGAGCTGGTGCCTAACTCCAGCAGTCACTGTGCGAGAGGTGAGGGACACCCTGGACAGGTCTCCAGTCCATCACAGGGACAGAGATAAACAAAAACAACTCTTTGTACCTAACATGCATGTTTTTGATCTGTGGGGGGCACAAAGTACCCCATAGAAAGCCCATGCATGCATGAAGGGAAAATATAAACGCCACCCAGAAAGGCCCCAGGCTGGGTGGCGATCCTGCACCCTGAGGCACCTGCTCAAAGAGCTGCGCTGCCTGTGTGGAACTGGAGACACCACGCTGTCCGTCTGCCTCTCTGATGGAATGAGCGTCTGGAAAGATGTCATCAAGGCAGAAAATTATCTACAGGTTTTAGAAACATTACTATCATTCAGACAACTTTTTCAGCCATGCCTTTTGTCTTTTTGAGATGTCCTATAAAATCTCAAATGTCCTATTCCCCCCCCCCCCACACACACACACACACACACACAATGGTGCATGTGATGTCACAGTTGAAACATTTGCTTTGTGAAAAAATATGGGTTCATGAGCTCTGTAAACACAACGTGTTGATTTGGGGAAGTAACTCAACAACATGGAGAAACAGACAAGTCACGTTCGTTTCTTTAACTGACCTGAAATCTTTGAGTTTGCTGCTCTGAGTCTGAGACAGAGCCAGGTGGGGGTCGTTGGCCTGGGCACGCCTCACAACAACCGTCTGCAGCATCTTCTCCCTCTGCCTCTGCTTCTCCTTCCACCTCTCCTCCTCCTCCTCAGCCTTCTTCCTCTGCTCCAGCACCTTTCTACTCAGGGAGAAAACTTTAATCACATGAGGAGGAGGGTTTGGAGGAGGGAGGCTGTTTAGAACTGGATGCTGGGTCAACTGAGGATGTTGGGGAAAAGGAGTTCCATGGATATTTGGTCCGAGGGGGGTCAAATACAGAGAGTCTCTAAACAGGACCTCTGGGTCCTCAGACTCTGACTAGCTCTACTACAATGGTGGAGGCAGTTGGTGTCCCAATGTGGTACCTCACAGCCTCGTGGCGCTTCTTAGTGGCATCGGTGACCTTGGCAGGAAGGATTTCCGTGCTCCCTGACAGCGACGAACAGAGGCTTGAGTTGGGCGTCCGTGCAGGCCCCGGGCTGACGAGCGGCCAGCGCAGCATCCGGGGGCTGCTGCGGTCCTTCTCCATGTCGGCCAGGATGCGTTCTCGGTGAGATGAGATTTGTGACGTCCTCAGTTCGAAGGGCTCACATGCAGTTGTAGGCTTCACTTCCTTCCGTTTCTGCAGCTGTTTCTGGAAGCGTTTGTAGCTGGCATTAAAGTCAGGAACCTCTTTGTTGATCTGGGGTCTGTGGGAGAAGCTGTCGTCTCCTTCGGCCTCTTGTTTGGTTTTCCTCCGTTCACTGAGTCGCCGTGTGAGCATGCTGGGAGGCATGGAAGCACTGTGGAGCATCTCCTCAGCTCTCATCTGTATCTTGATGGACCGATACAGCTGCTCCTCCTTCATCTGCTCCCCTGACGCGGCTGCGTACACGGACTTTGGCACAGGCTTAGCCTTAAAGGGTTTCACTGTCTCCTGGTCCGGTGGCTGCTGTCGTTGCTGCTTCTGCTCCTTCTTCAGCCGCTCTCTCTCCAAAAAGCTGAAGGGCTTCTGACTGGCTCGGAGCTGCAGATGATCGTGCTCCCTCGTGGTTCTCCGTCGCCCCTCAGTCCGCTCCTGCAGCTCTTCGTACAGTGGGAGGTGAACGTGCGCAGGTACGGGGCTTGCACGGAACTTCCTCTGACACTCCGTCAGTTCTTCCAGCTGCCTCTTCAGCCGTGCGTTCTCCACTTCCACCTCAGAGCGTGTCTTCAGGGCGCCTTTCTGATGCTCGGCCTCCCGCAGCGTCATGTGGAACGGCTTTGGGACCGTCACTTTGTGTTTGATGTTCTCCTGCAGCCCGTCTCTAAACTCCTGCCTCTTCTTTCCTTTTCCTTTCAGTGCCCTCTGCTCAGCAGGCAGGCTGTGCAGAGACGAGGAGGACAGGTGGCGAGGGGACACCTTGAAGTCCTTCCACATATTCTTGATGTACTCTTTGGGAGAAGAAAGCAGGCCTTTCTCCACATCGTTGCTGACGCCTTCATTCTCGTCGGAGGAGTCTGAGTGTCCAGAGCCCCTCCTGAGCTCAACAGCAGAGTGGGTCTTTCTCAGCCGGCGACGTGACCCTGCAGGGCTCCTGTCTGTCCACCGAGGGCTGATGAAAATAAAAACAGTAGAATATTTAGTCTGAGAGAGAGCAAGTATATATTTTTTATTCCTCCAGTATGTTTTTTATTTACTACCTGCCATCATGTGTGAAGGTGACAATTATCTTTTGAGTGTGTTTATCAGACTTTTAACAAAATATCACATTAACCACTTGATAAAATGTATCGAAGTGTTAAGAAAAGAATTAATAAAGAGTGCAGGGTGTCCTGCAGCGAATGTGACGTGTTGTTCAGGATCTGGAGCAGGTTCCT